CATTTCTATATCCCCTTCCAACAGGTAGACCGACAGCACCCATTTCTATATCCCCTTCCAACAGGTAGACCAAGAGCACCCATTTCTATATCCCCTTACAACAGGTAGACCGACAGCACCCATTTCTATATCCCCTTACAACAGGTAGACAGACACACAGCACCCATTTCTATATCCCCTTACAACAGGTAGACAGACAGCACCCATTTCTATATCCCCTTACAACAGGTAGACAGACAGCACCCATTTCTATATCCCCCTTACAACAGGTAGACAAACAGCACCCATTTCTATATCCCCTTACAACAGGTAGACAGACAGCACCCATTTCTATATCCCCTTACAACAGGTAGACAGACAGCACCCATTTCTATATCCCCTTACAACAAGTAGACCGACAGCACCCATTTCTATATCCCCTTACAACAGGTAGACAAACAGCACCCATTTCTATATCCCCCTTACAACAGGTAGACAAACAGCACCCATTTCTATATCCCCTTACAACAGGTAGACAAACAGCACCCATTTCTATATCCCCTTACAAAAGGTAGACAGACAGCACCCATTTCTATATCCCCTTACAACAAGTAGACCGACAGCACCCATTTCTATATCCCCTTACAACAGGTTGACAGACAGCACCCATTTCTATATCCCCCTTACAACAGGTAGACAAACAGCACCCATTTCTATATCCCCTTACAACAGGTAGACCGAGAGCACCCATTTCTATATCCCCTTAAAACAGGTAGACCAAGAGCACCCATTTCTATATCCCCTTACAACAGGTAGACAGACAGCACCCATTTCTATATCCCCTTACAACAAGTAGACCGACAGCACCCATTTCTATATCCCCTTACAACAGGTTGACAGACAGCACCCATTTCTATATCCCCTTACAACAGGTAGACAGACAGCACCCATTTCTATATCCCCTTACAACAGGTAGACAGACAGCACCCATTTCTATATCCCCTTACAACAGGTAGACAGACAGCACCCATTTCTATATCCCCTTTCAACAGGTAGACAAACAGCACCCATTTCTATATCCACTTTCAACAGGTAGACAAACAGCACCCATTTCTATATCCCCTTACAAAAGGTAGACAAACAGCACCCATTTCTATATCCCCTTACAACAGGTTGACAGACAGCACCCATTTCTATATCCCCTTACAAAAGGTAGACAGACAGCACCCATTTCTATATCCCCTTACAACAAGTAGACCGACAGCACCCATTTCTATATCCCCTTACAACAGGTTGACAGACAGCACCCATTTCTATATCCCCTTACAACAGGTAGACAGACAGCACCCATTTCTATATCCCCTTACAAAAGGTAGACAGACAGCACCCATGTCTATATCCCCTTACAACAAGTAGACCGACAGCACCCATTTCTATATCCCCTTACAACAGGTAGACAGACAGCACCCATTTCTATATCCCCTTACAACAGGTAGACAGACAGCACCCATTTCTATATCCCCCTTACAACAGGTAGACAAACAGCACCCATTTCTATATCCCCTTACAACAGGTAGACAAACAGCACCCATTTCTATATCCCCTTACAACAGGTAGACAGACAGCACCCATTTCTATATCCCCTTACAACAGGTAGACCAAGAGCACCCATTTCTATATCCCCTTACAACAGGTAGACAAACAGCACCCATTTCTATATCCCCTTACAAAAGGTAGACAGATAGCACCCATTTCTATATCCCTTTCATCACCACACAATAACGTGTACAACATCACAACCCAATTATGTGTACAACATCACCACACAATTATGTGTACAACATAACCACACAATTACATATACATCACCACACAAATATGTGTACAACATCACCATACAATAACATGTACAACATCACCACACAATTACATGTACAACATCACCAACCAATTACCTGTACAACATCACCACACAATTACCTGTACAACATCACCACACAATTACCTGTACAACATCACCACACAATTACCTGTACAACATCACCACACATTTACCTGTACAACATCACGATACAATTACATATACAGCATCACCATACAATTACATATACAACAACACACAATTATGTGTACAGCATCACCACACAATTACACACAATTACTAATGATGATTATATAGTGCTAGGCCACTGCCAAACCACATTCACATGATTCACATGATTGCCTGAGGGTTCATTATCAACTTCGGAAATCTCTCCCATCATGTTTCTCATGTCGGCCATTTTGACGACTTGTACTCGATGTAAATGTATTACGACACTCTGTCATTGTGACTGACTTACTGAGGTAGTTCATAACAGACCTTTCTCACCCAATGATGATATTATTTGAATACATTTCTTGTAAACAAACTACAACAGATGTTCCTGTAAAACTAGTTGAGCATACATATGCTCATGTCACTTCTCTTTCTGGGGGAACTATTTTATTCCAAGACACAGCTGGTTTTTTTATGGCTGTCATAGAAAACATGGAGTCACACTTAGGGATCTAGGTCTACACCCCTTGAGGTATAAAATAGCAATAATTTTTTTTATAAGAATTGACTTTCACTTTGTAAGAGTAAGAACCGTCATAGAGTGAGGGCCAAACATTATATGAATGATATCACAAGCTCCGAAGTTCATACAGTAAATGTTTGCATTATTTCAACTGAATCAAGACATGATTTGTCTCTTATTTTCGCAAATTTTCAATGTTTATGTCTGAATGCCGGCAGGTAACTTTTTGAAGATGGGCAGGCAACATTTATGGGTCTCGTTGTGTCTTAAAATTATTTCAAACACTGCATATGACAGCGGTCTGAAAGTGATTGAGTCTGGAGAAGACAATCTAGTGCTTGACCTCATGAGCATCTATCTACGCAACTGAGATCAGATGACATGCATCAACCAAGTCACTCAAATGGTGTCATCCCGATCAATTGAATATATAGCTAAGAATGCAAAAATAGTGGTCAACTAATCAGCTACCATGCCTGGGTAAATACACTGATTTAATCAATTGGGATGGAATGCACTCAAGCGTTCTTCGACCGATCAGATCAACTTCATTCCAGGTATTCCACCGATCAGGATGTTATCCTTACAACCAGAATGGAGGAAATATGTCATCCCAAGGTAGAATTAAAAGTAACAATGAAATAATAGCTTACTTTTCACATTGAAAGAAGGTCATTATGACCTACTACTGACGTATAAAATAGATTGTCATACATATTCAAATATTACAATCACTACAGATCAATTCACTAAGATTCTAAAAATATCTGCAGAAAAAGGCTTTGAGTTTGAGAAAAAAGGGGTATTCATAGAATAAGATATCCCTAAAATGTCCATGTACTGGTTGGTTTAAAAAACTAAGTGTGCTGTCGTAAAACTTTAAGTATAGCCTCCTCATTTTCTTGGACATGACTGAATGTCATCCAAAATGTTCTTAGACACTTTTCAAATTTGGTAACTATACAGAAGGATGTTTTGGAAAGGGCTGCTAAGAAATGTGTATGTTACAGTTTACACAATTGCAAGCTAAGAAAGATAAAGTACGGATCCATGCTTGATTAACTCCATTAACTGAGTAGTAGACTGGAGTCTGGAATGCTACAGCACTGGCATGATCAGTAAACAACAAGTCCAGTGTAGCTCCAAGACAGTGACTTGGAGAGTGAATAAGTTGAGTCATTTTCTGCACATTAAAGAAATCTTCAAGGTTCAGTTTTTCACTCAGATCACAGTTGAAATCCCCAGTAAGTAGGACATGTTCACATTCATACTGCTTGGAGAGATCCTGAAGTTTCTGCATGAAGTTAGTAAGTGAATGCGACAACCGTGTCCATGACACTTTTACAGGAACATACACACAAGCAATGCAGAACTTGCCAACAAGAAAGGAAAAGTATTCAATACTGCGGGATGACATTATGTTCCAAGTTTGGTGAAGAAATATTGTTGGGTTATCAAGATCTGCTCCGGAAACGAGGTCTACCGCCATTTTCAGTCAAAGTCGTTGCCATGATAACTCGAAAAATAATTTTTTAAAAATTCCCAAACTATCAAAAGGCACGAGTTCACCACTAGACCTATCTATGTGCCGGTTTTCAAGATCTGCTCAGGAAACAAGGTCTACCGCCATTTTCAGTCTTAATCAAAGTCGTTGCCATGGTAAAAAAAAAAAATTCTCAAAAATCCCAAACTATCGAAAGGCACCAGTTCACTGCTAGACCTATCTATGTGGCAAGATTGGTTAAGATATCTCATGTTTTTTGTGTTCTACTCCGGAAACGAAATGTGACGGACGGAAAGATGGACGGACGGCACCCATTCCTATATCCCCCTTCCACTTCGTGGCGGGGGTTAATAATGTTTAAGATGTATATAACTGTTTTACATGTATAGGCTTGACTCTGAAAGTAAATGAGCTCGCAAATGCGTTTCGGAAATTAGCTCCTTTGTACGCATGCTGAAAAAGCTTCATTAGATATTTACGCGGACTGTACATGTTTTATACATTTGAGTTTTTCATGCGTTTCTGTTCGCAAGTTAATTGAAAGTAATTGGGTTTTGAATATTTTCTTTTTGGGGGGTGGGGGTATTTGAGGCACGCCGCTTATCTGTAGTTCTGGAAACATAGTATGCTCTGGCCACTACAGTAGATCAAGAAGAAGATCTTTTGAGAACATCAGTTGCTGAATCCCTAGCTGATTATCAACCACTCGTACAAACACTATTCCTGATGACACAGATGAAAACAGCACTTTCCATGAAGTTTCTCAGCATTACATCTGACCGTGTGCATGATATACATAATGTCATAGTACCGTGCGCCATAGACAAGTCTTTGATACAACATGTGATGTCCGAATTATTAAGCTTCACAAAGTGTGGGACAGAACCTACTCAGTACGTTAACAAATGCTCACACGTCGTTGCATAAACAACATAAACATGAAGAGTACTACACACCTTGTGAGAAGACCAAGGCTAACGAATCAGCTGTCCAGCGTGAGTGCAGTCAACAAGGACACCTGGTGTGTTTACAGGGTCAGTCGCTCTCAGCTGTGTCCTTCACCTACTCGCAAACGCAAAATGGGTTGTATTTGAACAATCAGTTCCCTGTTTCCAGGACACTGTTCTGGGAGATAAAAAGCCCATTGCAGCTGTGTGTATATATCGATATCGCAACTCAAATCTGCCCCTGTAAAACAGTTTTCCCTTTCTACAATTGTGACTTATAAATCACTGTTGTTAACCCGCTGGATGCCGAGGTTTTTTTCTGACGCACATTTTTCTAAGATCTGAAAAGTGAAGGTTGTGCGAGAATTGCGCTCACGCGGCACTGGATCTACCTCTGGCTATATAATTACGCGGAGATGTAGAATATTAAATTTCCTATCTTATGGTGTTACTGCAAATATTAAACCGGTTTTAAAAGAAAGACACTGTCCGAGAATTTAATCTGCGTTGGAACAGAAAATTTCTCCGCTTTATATTCGTACAGCGATTAAAGTACTGTGCAACGATTTTTGTATTTGGCAGCTTTAGGGAAACCGTGAGCGAACAAAATAAGGCCTAATATCTGAACGATAAATTGATTCATTTTAAGGATTGACTGTGCAAACTGTATGAACCTCAATGAACCGAAAAAATACACAGTCAATACTTGTAATTGAATTCGACAACGAAAACATGTTTTATCTACGATAGTTTAACCAAAAACAGTTGTATATATCAAAGCAGACAAAAATGACGCGATTGATAAACATTCCAGGTGTATGAATACATACTTTTGCGGGATATTAATGTGATTATTTATGCACATAACTTGACACGCCTACAAAGTCAGTAGCCAATCAACGGGGAATAAGATCAAAACAATGTTCATAGGACCTGTCAACCAAGGCAAGAGGCGAGAAGAACTGCAACAGTCAGACTGTAACGAACCGGAAGAAATATGTCCAAGCGGCGGCTGTTTCAAATGACATGGTCAGTTACCGCCAGATTCAAACACTAGTTCCCTGAGATACAGTTGGAAAAATGCTAGTTAGAAATGAAACTCAAAGACATAAAAGTTGTGGAACCAAGGCGAGCGGCAAAAAAAACTGGCGAGCGAGCCTGCACGTTTGCTGTTTCATTCCTTCTAGGGCTTCGGTCTCAAAGGGTTCTTTGGACAATGAATGTGCATGAGTTTCGCTAAATGTCCTGTGCATCACGCAATCTCATTAAAATCATATCTTAGTTCTCGCTACCGCTGAATGAAGATCTGAGGACATCCCGCCTCAGACCGAATTTTCGGGAACCGACCAATCGAATATCGAACAAGAAGTCGGCAATAGCCAATTAAAAGGCAGCTTAATCGAGCTTTACGGCACGAGTTTCAAACTGGCGACAACGCTTCAAAATATATTTTGACATATACTCGACTAAAAATTGAAAACTGAACAAAAGAACATTCTGGAATGGCTAATAGATGATCTTTATTGTGTGAATACAGACATAAAGCCCATAACTGTCGTTCGGAATACGCTGTGTGGTTCTTTCCGAGGCTGCACGATACAAAATTACATTCCAACTGTTCATGATCTGCTAAGCGATGCTCTGATTGGTCAGATGAACTGCCGTTCTGGCATGACCCGGATGTCCTCAGATCTTTGTTTAGAGGTAGCAAAAACTAAGATCTGATCATGGGTTGCTGAAGACCTATTCTACCCCGGAAAACACGGGTCCTTCTACAACTTAGGAGCTGCCGACCTTTATTTGGCTTTCAATTTAACGTTATAAATAACATGTCATATAGTTACACCTCTACACGGATTGATATTTACTGATGATTTTACTTATCATTTCGTAATACATGAAGTTGATTCCTTTTTATCTTTCTTTTTTTTAATCAATATCTGATTAAGATCATAAATTCAGGATTAGTTCATTAGTATCCACCAGTTGCATGGTTTCTGAATTTCTGTCATAATAAGATCAGGGGAGAGTTTAGGAAGATGATTTGGGCATATATTTTAATATTTCCTCCATATCATGTGATATTATTTATTTCAGTTATATTTTGAGCTATAAAAATCATTCTTCACATTCTTAGTTTTGTCATGTCAGGTTTCACCCCTCATTGCACAGTCTTATCGCCTGTATTTCTTTACAAAAGAATTATTTAACTATTTTTAATAAAATTGTAATATATTTGGATGAAAAGCATATCAGAAAAAGCACCTCATGTCAACTGGAATCATGGGAAAATGATGGCAAACACCACTACTTGTGAAATTTACATACCGATCTTAAGTTCACCAAGCCAATCGTTGACTGAGTGAATTAGCAAAAACACGCAAGTGTTGCATGTTATGCAGTTGATTTACAATACATAAATTCTATCATTGAATATACTATCCCATTGTTTTATCATAACCTAGGCGGCATATTACAATCTGTGTCTTCATACATATCTTGGAATCCGCCATTCTATTCACTTCCTGGTACCTGACAGCAAAATGCGAATAGTGTATTACAAGCATGTTTTGTTGGATCTCAGCATTAATTATGTAATATCCTCTGTATTTAACACAGGATAGAATTTTATGGTTGAAATGTCTATCGGTGAATTGTGGGTACATGGAGTTCCCCATCACAAAATGTTCTCTGTTCTCTGCTGATGCGACACACTCTGCAAGGGGCTGAGCACTTCAAGCCTAGTAAAATCCAAGATATTTTTTATATTTGTATACTTATCCTGCATTATTTCTTAATGCATATTACTGCTTGTTCTTGACAGAGAAAAGAGCTGTGTGAGGGTCTTTGCTTGAAGAAGTTGCTCCAACTAGCTGAGAGGCCAGCCCATCACGCAGCTCCCACGTGACCAAAGGAAGTGACGTCACGGATCCTCACATTACTCTGTAGTCCGAAACATCGGAAGGCATCGTGGGGAGGTAGATCTGCGATGGGCCATTCCCTCAGCCCGTCCTCGGCTGTGTGGTCGGCATCGGGTGACCACTCCATGTATGGGAAACTCCGTTTCCGTCAACCCGTCTTCGGCTGTATGGTTGGCCTGGATGACCATTACATGGAAGGGAAGAGCCAGGTATGCGTTGTGTCCTGGTACTGCGCAGCCTGACAATAACGCTCGGTTAGGTCGAGACTGGAGCACTGAGCCGTATGCAGATGAGGCATGAACCTTCTAGTCAAGGGCTTACGCCAGGGGAGGTCGAAAGGCCGGCTCTGGACTTGGAGGCGTGGTCAATGACGTGTAGTAGTGGTGACCTGCTAGGCCACTACTAAAGGACCAAAGCTGTGCATGCCTTGCACATCCTCCAATGCGACGTCTCGCAGGTAGTGACTGGCGAAGGCCGTGTTGGATCGCCAGAAACATCCCTCCATGATGGCGCGTAGAGAGCAGTTGCTGTGTAGCGCCATGGTGAAGGCGACCGCCCGGATCTCATGCGGGTTGTTGGAGCGTGGGGAGTCCAATCCCGCTGCCTCGTAGGCCTGGAGGATGATGGCTCGTAGCCAGAGGGCGATCGTGTTGCGGCTGACTTCCGGTACGAAGAGGCGTCATCGTTGTCTACCGCGTTCCTTGGATCTTCGGATGTAGCCACGAAGTGCTCTAACCGGACATAGACGGAGCTCTAGATCATCTTCCGCGCCCACAATTGAGGAAAGAGGGGGGGGGGGGGGGGGGGGGGGGGGGGGGGGTTGGTGAGGAACGATCTATCGGGCTGGCCTGGGAGCTGGTTCTTTGCAATGAAGTCCCAGCACAGGCCCAGATGCACGTGTGCTCCCTGCTCAAAGCCGACCCGTGTGACGTCTAGGGTGTGTACCTCACTGACACGGGCTGCTGTGGCGAGCGCCAGTAGGAAGACCGTCTTTTCCGTCAGGTTGTAGAATTACGCCTTTTCGAGTGGCTTCGAAAGGCGCGTCTCACAGCAAGGTGCCGATGTGGGGTCTTGTTGCTTGCCCCTGCAAAGGCTCTCGAAGGATTGCCACTTGTCATCATAGAGGCTACTGGTGGTTGGGCTATGTGCCATCATGATGGCCCTAGCCACTCTGGCCGAGTAGCCTTTCGCGTTCAGTGAAGACATAATCTGTCTGGTCCTGGGTGTGGCTGTCTGCTGTGAGGGTGGATCAGCAGATTTGGCCAATCTGGGTGTGGCAGTGGGTTGATGTCGGACAGCTCTCTGAGGTCGACGAACCAAGCCCTCGCTGGCCACCAGGGCGCGACCAAAGTGAGATCGAGGTTCCTAGTCGATCTGATCTTCTGGACGACTTTGGGAAGGAGTACAGGTGGGGGAAAAGTGTACGCTTTTAGTCCTTCCCAGGGGACACTGAAAGTGTCGACTGCCCAAGTCAGTGGATCCGGCACCGGAGATATGTAGGTCGTGGATCCGGTGGTTCTGGCTGGTGGCGAATAGGTCTATGTTGGGGAGACATCCGCTAGGATGTTTCGGCAGCCCGGGATGCGGTGGACCTGGAACTGAATCCCCAGATGATCCACCAGGTGAAACAATCGGAACGTCTGTTGAAGGAGCGAAGTCGAGCGAGTCGTTCCTGTGGCAGTGGGTTGATGTCGGACAGCTCTCTGAGGTCGACGAACCAAGCCCTCACTGGCCACCAGGGCGCGACCAAAGTCAAATCGAGGTCCCGTGTCGATCTGATCTTCTGGACGACTTTAGGAAGGAGTACAGGTGGCGGAAAAGCATACACTGAAAGTGTCGACTGCCCAAGCCAGTGGATCCAGCACCGGAGATATGTAGGTCGTGGATCTGGTAGTTCTGGCTGGTGGCAAATAGGTCTATGTTGGGTAGACCGTTGTCTCGACAAACAAGAGCGAAGGCATCTGGGTGAAGTTTCCACGCTGTGGAAGCCACTTTGCCTGGCCGAGAGAGGGCATCCGCTAGGATGTTTCGACAGCCCGGGATGTGGTGGACCTGGAACTGAATCCCCAGATGATCCACCAGGTGAAACAATCGGAAAGTCTGTTGAAGGAGCGAAGTCGAGTGAGTTGATCCTTGGTTCCGAAGGCACCATACGACAGTGATGTTGTCCGTCGAGATGGAGTGCCGGGCGTGTCTGAGGGCCTGCTTCCAGTGAGCGATGGCCAAGATAAGCGCTTCCATTTCAAGGTTGTTGATGTGCCATAGGCGCTCATCGGCGGACCACAGCCCTGTAGAGAGCGTAGAGAGTCCGTAAGCCTTGTCAATGAGACACCGCCTAAGACAGTCAATTCCACCGTCCACCACCGGAGATGCTGCTTGAGATGATCTGGGAGGACGATGGATATGGAGGGGTCCTGGCGTCTGATGTAGGGCGCCAGGAACATCTGAACTGGGCGCAGTTGGAGCCTTCCTCTGTAGCTAGGCGTCCTCGATGTCCAGGCTGATGAGCGCCTCCTGCGCCTAGATCCGGGATCGCAGTAGCCTGAGCGTGGTCATCCTGAAGTAAGGTGGACGCGCCAGGTAGCGTTTGTTGAATGCTGCGAGGTTGTGGATCATCCTGTGCTTGTCCAAGTCCCTCTTGGGGACCAGGACGACGGGTGAGTAGAAGCCCGGTGTTATGGCTGGGGCGTGTACAACCTCTATAGCTTTCTTGTCTAGCAGCGCCGTGATGTTCTGGCTCAGTAGCTGCTGTTGGGTTGGGAGGAATGTGTCCACTATGAGTGACGACGTCAGTGGCGGGTCGTCTACAAGCGTAAGCTTGTACCCGTGTTGGATGATGTTGGTGACGTATGGGTCCCCCAGGATCTCCCAATTCCGCCAGAAGTGAGCCAGTCTCCCACCTACTGGGGTGTCGACAACTTGGACCGCTGGGGGTGGGAGGTCCCAGTTGTGCCTGTACGGCGGTTCACTGGAGGTCCCTGTGGCTGGCGTTACCCCTCTTGGCCTAGCCACGACGGGACTAGTATGAGCCGGAGGACTTTCCTATTCCCTTGCCTCTGCCTGAGAAGTTGAGGTGGAGCCCCGCCCCCGAGTCCGGAGAGTGTAGCGACGTGGTTGGTAGGAGCCAGACTGGGACGCCTTAGCAAAGTCTGGCTGACACCCTGGCCAGGACCTTGAGAGACGTCTCATCACGGGCAAAGGCTGAGACGCGGGCGTATGTCTGGGATATCTGTCCATTAAAGAGGTCAGAGCCGGACCAGGGTTGACGCAAAAGGTCTCTCTTGAACTCTGGGTCCCAGTTGGACAAGGCAAGGTACCCAAGGTGTCTAGTGGTAGTGATCTGTTCCACCTGTTGAACTGAGGTGGAGTGGTTCGTTCCCGCCATGCAGTGCATGTCCTCATCTAAGGAGTGAGCGTGGTCCGCAACTTGAAGAGAGTGGACTGGGAAGTCATCTCGTCTATAACGTGGGGCCCTGAAGGACGAAGTCAGTGACAGTTTACTGAAGTCCTCATCCAGAGCTGAGATCATGTCTCTGATCAGTGGGTCAGGAGGGATCGAAGTGTGGTCCGCACGGATGGCCGTCTTGCTATCGACCTCTAGGCTGGGCGAGGGAGCGATAGCCTCCAATCTGTCTGCCAGCCATCCGAGATGGCCGATCTGGAAGGCAAAACCTTGGAGTGGTCTGAAATCCTGCGCCGGTGTTTCCTGGCCTGCTGTGTTCTGCGTTTACTACACACACGGAGGTACTGTCTGAAAGCTATGGGTGAAAGCAGTAAACGGTCTTTACACCGGTGACCCTGGAGGCATTGAGATGTACAATTAAGGCAAAGCGGATGGGGATCCCACGCCGACATATTGCGCCAGCACTTTGAGCAGGAGGGCATGATATCTGCTACGAAGCAGTGTCAAATCACAATGCGTCCCCGCCCGATTATGTATGCTATAATTTGTTTATCCCACTATGTGGGTTTATGAAACAAATATTACGACAAACGTAAGACAACATACAACAAACAAACAATACGTGAGATGATACGCCAATAGTGGGGTACCAAGCAAAAGAATATAGAATGCAAACCAGTTCACTAACGGCTGGCTACGCAAAATATTCAAGATGGCTACTTGGAGCAACAAGACACCTAGCCTTATGTTTTCTTTTGAGAAAACGCCAGTAAGTGTCTAATAAAGTTATCCACATGTTTATGAAACATAGAATGTACAAAATACAAACCGTAGGCACAACACAAAGACAAAACAACATTAACTCAGAGAGCAAACACGTGAGGGTTTGAATCAGTTTTATGTTACAGGAAGAAAAACAGGTCTTCTCTCATCAAGTGACGAGTAACGTGAGGATCCGTGACGTCACTTCCTTTGGTCACGTGGGAGCTGCGTGATGGGCTGGCCTCTCAGCTAGTTGGAGCAACTTCTTCAAGCAAAGACCCTCACACAGCTCTTTTCTCTGTCAAGAACAAGCAGTAATATGCATTAAGGAGTAATGCAGGATAAGTAAAAAATCTTGTTTTTTATCCATGAAGGCGGAATAGTGGAAAAGGGCAAAAGGACATCTGGTAAAACCTGTCAGAACAAGACACAAAATCAGCTTTTTGTTGTTTGTTTTTAAATGCAGCACCATTCCTCATTCCTAATTGTGTGACACAATACAAAAACAACAGTACAGATAATCAACATCCATACTTTAATGTCTGACACTTAAATTAGAAACAAAGTGATGTCAAAAACTGACCAGGGTAGTAGTATCTCTTTGACTACTAATATACTTAACATGGCTTAAGACAAGTTGGTGGTATCTAAAATACAACAGAATGTTCATTATACATTGAAATATATCAAACCATGCAACAAATTTGATAAATTTTAAAAGGAAATAAAAATGAATGGATAAAAAGTAATAATTGCAGTCATCTTAGTGACTAATGTGCTTCTGCATAGGGCTAGATAAGGTCAACAAGGCTGTACCTTTCTCTGTAGTATTAGAATCAGATGGTGTTGCATACACCTCTTAGCGTCAGCTGCACATGCGCCTATCAGGATTTAACGACCACCATCCCCACTTAGTTCCCGAAAAATAGCGAGATATGAAAATATCATCAGTTTCAACAACTTAAACTTCGTCATCAGTCAACATGCTTAGTCCGATATTGAAAACACTGAGATGCATAACAAACACAGATAAAATCGGAGGCACATTTACAGTGTCATAAAAGTCAGGAGCATCCCCTTCAGGTGACCAGCATCCTGCACTGTTAAGTGCTCTTACCTTGAACAAGTATATTTTACTGAACCATAACATCTTTCATGGAGCTCATGTTCAAGTTACTGTACTTACAACTAGTACATACACATCCACCAAGTTCCCTTCACAATATTTACAATCGGTTTGACTAAACAGGAAAAAAATAAGATGATAAAATATACCTTTTTCAAATGGAAATAAAGTACTATTTTGTACACAAAAGCTAATTACAGTTGCTTCCTGTGTCCTTCCTGTGAGAGCCAACAAGCTGCAGGTTGTGGACTTCACCCCTCTGTGATACCAATGAACAGCTTTGATGCTGACAAACTACAGTAATTAGCCATGTGAATCAGGGACTAGAATCCACAAACACTGGATTCTGACACTACTTAGCGATGCAAATCTTCACAACAAATTGCAGCCTAATATTAGAAAAGGGGTGAAAATGGGTTTAACATTGTGTTCAAGTGTGTGTGGCTGCTTGTTCTAGTCCGGACTAATACCAGTTTTATAGTACTAGCCCACTGAGACGCCATGCCACAGTTTAACATGAATACCTCACTCAGACACAGTATACTGACTCTGAGCCAACCAGTCCTTGTTTTAGCCCCTGAATGCCAAGCGCCAGACAAGGTAACAACAAGTACCATCTTTCAACATCTGGTATGAGACAGACAGGGATGAAACCACCGACCTTCCTCTCAACAGGTATAGAGGCATATGTGCCATGAGTTTGCATTTATTTATGAACAGATTTTGGGGAAGATATTTACAGATGCTGCAGACATTAATGATGGACAACTAGACCATACAATAAGCTCCATGAACATCAGTTAGGTGAGAAAAGAAGTTATGATTTATTTATAATTTGGAAAATGACATACATTGAGACCCACAAAATACTTAGTACTTTCAGATAAATTAAAAGTAATTATTATGAATTGATTGTTTCACATTTCACCAAGTTTTTCTCCAGTCTCATGGCCACTAGCTGTGTAATAAATCTAACTCATGTCGCATTTAATTTCATGGTCATGCTCGTTTGTTTGCAAACATTTGACATGAGTAAGTAAAATACAAAAGTCAAATCAAACCATATAAAACTGATTTGTCTTGACATATTCTAAAACAAGACCTTGACTTGCTCAGAAATAAAGAATGTTTTACAAAGTAAGCGTTTGTTCTCTGAGGTATCTGAACCTCCAACATGTCCAGTGACAGTAGGTGTCCATTCTGTACAGTTGTCAACCTGCGTAAAATCACCAGCAGAAATCACTGTGAATCAGCCTCGTCCTCTGTTGATGAGTACATGCTCTGATTTCTTCTTCTCAGTTTTTTACTTTGTGGACTTATTTCCACATCAGACACATCTGTCCGTTTGACTGATCTTGAGGAAGCAGGCGTGTCCCTCACTGGATTGCTGGATACATCTGCTGTCTGATTCAAGTCTCTGTCATCTTCTGCCGACGAACTGATAGAGTCACTCTGTGATGCAGAATCCGCATCGATCTCAAACACACCAGACACTTCAAGCTTGGATAACGAAGTGTCTGATTTAGACAGTTCACTTTTTGATCTGCACCATGCAACTTTCTGAGATCCAAGCTTATCATCATCATTTTCACCATCAACAGAGCTATCCACACTTGATTCGTGTCCATTGCTACTTTGCATTTTCTTTTGAGCAGAAAGTATTTCACTCAATTCATCTTCCTCCTCAATGGAAATGTCTGTATTGTTTGACAGTATTGAGAGATTCCCTGATGCCAGCTCTGCAGTTTCATTCAGTGACAAATCTGTGGTGTTCAGACCAAAGGAGTCATTATATGATGTATCAATGCTACTATTGATGTCACTGCATGTTCCGTCATCTTCGTCATCATTGATATCATCCTCCAAGTCGGCTGGGTCTAGGGATGCCAGGACCTCCTCCTCCCGGACCTGTGAGTCCTTCCCAAGGTACACAGCATATGGGTCCGTGAGGTCCATCATGGTACACAGCAGTGTGGTCTGAGGGTTGACAACGATGGCAGGACACTTGTGGGGGGAACTCATCACTGATTCGTGAACAGGCACGGTAGCTTCAAAGTTGTAGGGCAATGCCAAGTTTCCATCAAAATTGTCTCTAATTGTTTCCATTTCTTGGTCTGTTACCTTGAAATCCCACCTGTAAGCAGTAGAATGGAGAATATACATAGTTGGAGGATTAACACAAAAAGTATTCATACAGTGCTGATGAGATTCATGGTACTGGGCCTAGATTTTAAAGACAATCTTTGCCCAAAGACAATAAAACTATCGTAAGACATAATTGGAATGTTTGCACCATTCCTGTCGTAATTATATTTCACCTTTGACTAAGGTGGCGGCATACTTTGCCAGATATTTTTCAAACAATTAATTTGCTTTACATTGAAACATTGACATTTCGTTTTGTTTAACTGCACAATTCACTTCGAAAAAATCAGTAACATTACAGATTTCAGTACATTACAGTAGGTTAATTACTTCCGGAAGTGTGAAACAACATATGTATTTGTTGATTTGGTAAGGGTAAAAACAGAAGGCTACAGTAATACAATGGGGTACAGTAATAACCATACTGCAGCTAATCTTCATCCATACTCTAGTTGGGAGTGGTTTCCCTTTGCCAATGTTGCCAGTCTGCAGGTGTCACTAACTGTCATTACTGCCTGTCTGAGCAGGTGTCAGATTACACTACCTGTCATTACTGCCTGTCTGAGCAGGTGTCAGATTACACTACCTGTCATTACTGCCTGTCTGAGCAGGTGTCAGATTACACAACCTGTCAGTACTGCCTGTCTGAGCAGGTGTCAGATTACACTACCTGTCATTACTGTCTGTGCAGGTGTCAGATTACACTACCTGTCATTACTGTCTGTGCAGGTGTCAGATTACACTACCTGTCATTACTGTCTGTGCAGGTGTCAGATTACACTACCTGTCATTACTGTCTGTGCAGGTTTCAGATTACATTACCTGTCATTACTGTCTGTGCAGGTGTCAGATTACACTTCCTGTCATTACTGCCTGTGCAGGTGTCAGATTACACTACCTGTCGTTGCTGCCTGTCTGAGCAGGTGTCAGATTACACTACCTGTCATTACTGTCTGAGCAGGTGTCAGATAACATTACCTGTCATTACTGCCTGTGCAGGTGTCAGATTACACTACCTGTCGTTGCTGCATGTCTGAGCAGGTGTCAGATTACACTACCTGTCATTACTGTCAGTGCAGGTGTCAGATTACACTACCTGCCGTTGCTGCCTGTGCAGGTGTCAGATTACACTACCTGTCGTTGCTGCCTGTCTGAGCAGGTGTCAGATTACACTACCTGTCATTACTGTCTGTGCAGGTGTCAGATTACACTACCTGTCGTTGCTGCCTGAGCAGGTGTCATATTACACTACCTGTCGTTGCTGCCCGGTCCTGGCATGTACCGCGTTGAGGGGCTGAGGTTCAGCAGGTGGTTGGTTAACTTGAGAATCATCAACCACTCAGGATCCAGATGGATTTTCATTGCTTGAGAGGTGTCATGTGGTACATCGATAACCTAAAACATGAAAAAGACATATTTCCATGTGTGTTTGACCAACACAACAGTCCTGGGAGCCCATAATGTTCTTCCCTTAACCCTATACAACTTGTCGTGTTACATACAACATGTGTCTTCCAAAACCAAAGTGGGGCGGTCGGGTAGCCTAGTGGTTAAAGCGTTCGCTTGTCAAGCTGAAGAACCGGGTTTGTAATCCTGACATGGGTACAATGTGTGAAGCCCATTTCTTGTGTCCCCCGCCGTGATATTTCTGGAATATTGCTAAAAGCGGCGTAAAATCAATCTCACTCACTCACCCAAAACCAAAGTGCTTTTAACTCTGTCATTGAGGTAGCTTGAAGCACAGATTTGGGGCATTCAGGAAATGGTGGGGATCAGGTTGTCTAATATTACTATCATATTTCAAGTTGTTATTGTTTACTTTATATTGATCAAAGAAACTTTGCACATAAAATTCAATACAAAAAACAAAACGAATTGCAATGTGCTTCTCACTGAAAGCAGGATCACAGTGCCCTAAAACCTTTGACATCATATGAACATCATCACTTGTCATACATAATTATTCAAATGACATAACCACTACATCATGCATAAGTCCTGTGATTGGTGTTCAGCAACTCATGTCTTGTCGTAAGATGCAACTGATTTGGTTGATGTATGTCATCGCATTCAAATTGTATAGATTGATGCTCATGATGTCAATCGCCGGATTGACAGATCCAGACTCGATTATTTACAGACCGCCATCATATAGCTGGAACATTGTTGAGTGCAGTGTTAAACAACAACATGCCTCCCACTTACTCCTATTACTCAGTTTCAATGACCTCCACTATATCCTAATGAGAGCACCTTTCTTGTCCAGGCTAGGACCTGGGGGATGACCTTGACATTTGACATGAATTGTCCAAATGACAAACAAGATTCCTAGCGCTACAAAGAGGACACATATGATTCGACACCCCTGAATGGCTGCGAACAGTGTTGTGTCAAAGGCAAAGTGCCAAGCTGCTTTACAATTTTTTAAAGTCGCTTTTAGACTTGGATATATTTAATGATAATCAAGTATAAGTATGAATTCTTGAGACCTATTACCCAATGTTCCTGAATTTGCGGCAGACAGAAATAAAGAATTATGTACAAGACAAATAACAGCAGATGTGTTGTTGGACATTTGACACTGATTCATGTGTAATGTAGACTAATTATAGACAACCTGAAGAAACTTTCTCTTAGGAAGACACTTGTCAAGTGAAAGGAACTTGGTTGTTTTCTCTACTCCGTCCATTGCCTGCAACATTCAAAATAATTAATTTTTTAACATCTGACAACATTAAGATATCAGTTAGATGTAACTGTGTAGCACTCTACATTGTGTAGGTAACATGACTGTCCCCAAGATATAACTGTGTAGCACTCTACATTGTGTAGGTAACATGACTGTCCCCAAGATATAACTGTGTAGCACTCTACATTGTGTAGGTAACATGACTGTCCCCAAGATATAACTGTGTAGCACCCTACTTTGTGTAGGTAACATGACTGTCCCCAAGATATAACTGTGTAGCACTCTACATTGTGTAGGTAACATGACTGTCCCCAAGATATAACTGTGTAGCACTCTACATTGTGTAGGTAACATGACTGCCCCCAAGATATAACTGTGTAGCACTCTACATTGTGTAGGTAACATGACTGTCCCCAAGATATAACTGTGTAGCACTCTACATTGTGTAGGTAACATGACTGTCCCCAAGATATCACTGTGTAGCACTCTACATTGTGTATGTAACATGACTGTCCCCAAGATGTAACTGTGTAGCACTCTACATTGTGTAGGTAACATGACTGTCCCCAAGATATAACTGTGTAGCACTCTACATTGTGTAGGTAACATCACTGTCCCCAAGATATAACTGTGTAGCACCCTACTTTGTGTAGGTAACATGACTGCCCCCAAGATATAACTGTGTAGCATCCTACATTGTGTAGGTAACATGACTGTCCCCAAGATATAACTGTGTATCACCCTATATTGTGTTGGACAAGTGTTGGTAACATGACTGTCCCAAGATATACCTGTGTAGCACCCTACCTTGTGTTGGGTAAGCGTTGGTAACATGACTGTCCCAAGATATACCTGTTTAGCACCCTACATTGTGTTGGACAAGTGTTGGTAACATGACTGTCCCAAGATATACCTGTGTAGCACCCTACCTTGTGTTGGACAAGTGTTGGTAACATGACTATCCCAAGATATACCTGTGTAGCACCCTACCTTGTGTTGGACAAGTGTTGGTAACATGACTGTCCCAAGATATACCTGTGTAGCACCCTACCTTGTGTTGGACAAGTGTTGGTAACATGACTGTCCCAAGATATACCTGTGTAGCACCCTACCTTGTGTTGGACAAGTATTGGTAACATGACTGTCCCAAGATATACCTGTGTAGCACCCTACCTTGTGTTGGACAAGGGCTGCAAACTTGACATGTAGATGAGCTGAGAACCAGTAACTGGGCTGGAGGAAGTGGAGCAGCTCCTCTGCAGGTGGACTGCCCAGTGTGTTTGTCTCTATTTCTTCCTTGAAGAAACTCTTCTGTCGCACAAGACCATTCACGTCCCCAAAGTGATACACACCCCTCGGCCAGTCATGCGACAGAAAAATGTCAATGGGACGAGAAATCTAGAAATGGATATTTGTATCGTCAACATGGTGACAGTCATCAGAACACTGTGCAAAGATTTTTAACTATGTAACTAGCATCTGATTTGAGGCAACTTACAACAACTCTCCCTAGCAATGACATGAAGGACAGTAAATGTATTATCAAAAGTCATCAGTTCACCTCTTAAGTTCAAATATTGCTGTTTTGAGAAATAGTATTGAAGTCATGTTGTGTTCTGTTGTGGAGACAAAATGATTTATCCAAATGGATAACACGGTATGAGAATTGAGATGGCCACGGGCAGGCTACTTAGGCTGTCAGTGTGTCCTGATGGATGGCCCAAACCCAGTTTTGCCAACAAACAAAATGGAGGACACAATCATAAAGCCAAAATAGGATTGACTGACTCATTGGATTTACTCATGAAGCAAACAATTAATAATCCTTCATGAACACTAATGATTGAACTAAACACAGACTCGTGTTTTGATGTGAGATGAGTCGGCTAGTAGCTGCATATTACAATAGCTACAGAGACAAACTTGCTTAATAAACAATCAAAGCTTTAATAAAGAAAACAGGATAATCACATGTTTAGATTACCCCAATCTCATTAAACTAGTAAAATTTGAATACTTTTTACATTTGTATACTTATCCTGCACAGTTCGTCTCTCTGTCAGAAGACAGCAGTGAATGCATTAAGGAGTAATGCAGGATAAGTTAAAAAATAAGTTTTATAAGTTCTAGCTATTGCTGAGGATATCCCATTTCAGGTCACTTCAAAAATGACCTTTCACAAACTTTAACTGACCAATGAAATTGCTTGCAGGGAATAGACATTAGCCACTAAGAAAGCAGCTTTCTTCAGCTTTGCGGCACTAGTTTCATACTGGTGACTTCCATTCCAGACTGTGCTTTCAAAAGTATACTGAACAACAAAAGTTCCTGTGACATTGAATAAGATTTAATGCAAAGTTATGTTTTTTACCAAATCTAAAACAATTTCGGTTTGCAACAGATAAAAGACTCCTGTAAGTGTTCAAATGGTTTAATTTGCCATACTGACTTCAGAAAATGTGTGATGTCATAAAAAACATGAACATGCCAAAATGTCAATTTACAAATCAATAGCGTGTGTGTCCACCTCTGGTTGCGATGCAAGCAACACATCTTCGTCTCATGGAATGGACCAGGTGTCGCACAATGTCCTGTGGGATATCTGTCCATATCTGCTGGAGCATGTTTCAAAGTTCCTGGAGTGTCTGTGGAACACGTGGTTGATGTCGAAGGCGCCAATCCATCTCGTCCCACATGTGCTCGACGTGCTTGACGGTGGTTTCCTGTCAAAACTGGATGTCTGGCGAGTCTTATGCCGACAATCCCTGCACATCTGAGGCGACGACATACGGTTTGTGAAGATATTCGTCGAAGGCCAGGGATGCTTCTTGCAGTCACTGTTGCTGGCTGGAATCGATTTCGTAGGTGTGTTGTTCGAATCCAGTTGTCTTGTCAATTATTGGTTACGCATGGCCTGCCACTTCGAGGACGGTCTCTGACCGCATTCGTCTGTTACCAACATTGCCATAAACACCAAATGGTGTTTCTGTGGACGTTAAATTGTCTTGCAACATCATGTTGATTGAACCTGCTTCAAGCATACCAGACGCTCATTTTGGGACCGGCGTGGCATTTCGTAATGTTGAATAATTGTGTAATTTTGTTGTTTTTCTGAGTGGTTGTTGTCAGCATGATGCAAAACAATGCATATGGAATCCCGTTAACGCACGTTTTAATACCCATTCTTTGGTAGTGAAATGCATGGAGCTTGCATAAATGTCAACTTTTGCATTGAATGCATGCTTTTCTGTAGCAGTTGCGTTTTTGTGACTTGATTCCATACATGTACTACAATATTGAAAACCAAACTTTACTTGTTTGATAAATACACTAAAATATTGGTGTCACATGAACTTTTGTTATTGAGTATATTTTGAATCAGTCATACTGCCCTTTTGTGTAGTTCAGAATACCCTGTGTTAAGTTTTAGAAATTGCATGATTAGAAAACAATGACAAAATTTCTGCTAACAATATAACATAACAATATGAATATTTTTGTTTTCATTATTTTATTACAACGTATATGTACCGTTATCTATCTTTAAGCTGTCCGATTTTCGACCCAATCGTTGATGCTACTGAATTTTGTTTATCTGACATCCTCGCTACTCCCGACATAATCATATGCAACCAACCATGTTGAATTGTGTGGTTATGTACGTAACACAGTCAATACGTAAATTTTCTTCTTGCAAGTGGCGAAAATTAATTTTCCACTGTGAAATGAAAATAAAGAAGGGAGGTCAACACATACACAAAGAAAAGGCGGCATAACTCAGCTATACATAACTCAGCTATACATAACTCAGCTATACATAACTCAACTATACATAACTCAACTATACATAACTCAGCTATACATAACTCAGCTATACATACCTGAGCTATACATCACTCAACTATACATAACTCAGCTATACATCACTCAGCTATACATACCTTAGCTATACATCACTCAACTATACATAACTCAGCTATACATACCTGAGCTATACATAACTCAACTATACATACCTGAGCTATACATAACTCAGCTATACATAACTCAACTATACATAACTCAGCTATACATACCTGAGCTATACATACCTGAGCTATACATAACTCAGCTATACATAACTCAGCTATACATAACTCAACTATACATACCTGAGCTATACATAACTCAGCTATACATAACTCAGCTATACATAACTCAGCTATACATAACTCAGCTATACATAACTTAGCTATACATAACTCAGCTATACATAACTATACATAACTGAGCTATACATACCTGAGCTATACATAACTCAGCTATACATAACTCTACATAACTCAGCTATACATAACTCAACTATACATAACTCAACTATACATAACTCAGCTATACATAACTCAGCTATACATAACTCAGCTATACATAACTCTACTTAACTCAGCTATACATAACTCAGCTATACATAACTCACAGACATTATATCTCCATATCCATGGTGAAAATTTACTATGGCTGACAAAGAAAACTGTTCCCACACAGCTATCGATATTGACAGGTTTCCTTGGACACTGACTGATTGTCATCCAAAGATACATTTAAAACTAGTAAAATCCTAGATAATTTTTATATTTGTATACTTATCCTGCATTACTCCTTATGCATATTACTGCTTGTTTCTTGACAGAGAAAAGAGCTGTGTGAGGGTCTTTGCTTGAAGAGGTTGCTCCAACTGGCTGAGAGGCCAGCGACGTCACGGATCCTCACATTAATCTGTAGTCCCAAACATTGGGAGGCATCGTGGGGAAGTAGATCTGAGATGGGCGGGTCCCTTTAGCCGCAGTAATGCAGGATAAGTATACAAATATAAAAAATATCTAGGATTTTACTAGATTTTTTACTTATCCTGCATTACTCCTTAATGCATCTTTATCGGACTGTTTTTGCGGCTGTTCCGCTCACGAGGTCGCAGATGCCGGTACGAAGAGGCGTCGTTGTTGTCTACGGCGTTCCTTGGATCGTCGGATGTAGCCACGAAGTGCTCTAACCGGACATAGTCGGAGCTCAAGATCATCTACCTCGCCCACAATCGATGAAAGAGGGGGGGATGAGGAACGATCTATCGGGCTGGCCTGGGAGCTGATTCTTTGCAATGAAGTCCCAGCACAGGCCCAGATGCACGGCTCCGTGAGCTCCCTGCTCAAAGCGGACCCGTGTGACGTCAGATGGAGCATGAACTCGCCCAGGAATTGAGGCGATGCAGATGTGGGGTCTACATGCTTGCCCCTGCAAAAGCTCTCGAAGGATTACTACTTGTCATCATAGAGGCTCCTGGTGGTTGGGCGATTTGCCATCGTGATGGCGCTAACCGCTCTGGCCGAGTAGCCTTTGGCATTCAGAGCTCTCTGTAAATGGACCAGACCAGTAAATGGACACAACCTGTCTGGTCCTGGGTGTGGCTGTTTGCTGTGAGGGTGGATCAGCAGATTTGGCCAATCTGGGTGTGGCAGTGGGTTGATGTCGGACAGCTCTCTGAGGTCGACGAACCAAGCCCTCGCTGGCCACCAGGGCGCGACCAAAGTGAGATCGAGGTTCCGTGTCTATCTGATCTTCTGGACGACTTTGGGAAGGAGTACAGGTGGGGGAAAAGCCTACGCTTTTAGTCCTTCCCAGGGGACACTGATAGTGTCGACTGCCCAAGCCAGTGGATCCGGCACCGGAGATATGTAGGTCGTGGATCTGGCAGTTCTGGCTGGTGGCGAATAGGTCTATGTTGGGGAGACATCCGCTAGGATGTTTCGGCAGCCCGGGATGTGGTGGACCTGGAACTGAATCCCCAGATGATCCACCAGGTGAAACAATCGGAATGTCTGTTGAAGAAGCGAAGTCGAGTGAGTCGTTCCTTGGTTCCGAAGGCACCATACGACAGTGATGTTGTCCGTCGGGATGGAGAGCCAGGCGTGTCTGAAGGCCTGCTTCCAGTGAGCGATGGCCAAGATAAGCGCTTCCATTTCGAGGTTGTTGATGTGCCATAGGCGCTGATCGGCGGACCCAAGGCAACCTGTCCCTCCAGGTGTGTGCCCCATCACTGCAGGGGCGCGTCTACGAAGAGGCGCAGAGAGGTATTAAGCCCTGTCAAGGAGACGCCGCCTAAGACATTCGATTCCACCGTCCACCACCAGGGATGCTGTTTGAGGTGATCCGGGAGGACAATGGAACATCTGAGCTAGGCGCAGTTGGAGCCTTCATCAAGTCCTGTGGTGAGGTTAGGAGGCCAAGGAGGACTTGTCATTGGCGCAGAGTGCATGGTAGGTGGCCATGGGCAACGACGTGAGCGGCGGGTCGTCTATAAGCGCCAGCTTGTACCCATGTAGCGGCGGGTTGTCTATAAGCGCCAGCCTGTTCCCATGTCGGATGATGTTGGTGACATATGGGTCCCCCAGGATCTCACAATTCTGCCAGCAACGACCCAGTCTCCCACGTACTGGAGTGTCCACAACTTAGACGGCTGGGGGTGGAAGTCCCAGTCGTGCTTGTCTGGCTATTCACTGTAAGTCCGTACGGTCGGCGTTACCTCCGTTGGAGTGGCCACGGCGGGACTGTTATGCGCCCGATGCCCTGCCTTTTTCTCTACCCCGAGAGGTTGAGGTGGTGCCGCGCCACTGGGGCGGGAGGGTGTTGCGTCGCGGCTGGTATGAGCCAGACCGGGACGCCTCAGCTAAGGCTGGCTGTGACACCCTAGCCAGGGTCTTGAGAGCCGTCTCGTCTCGGGCAAAGGCTGAGACTCGGGATTGAGTCATTGATGTACAGCGACAGGCGTCTGGTCGAGTGGTTGCAGTGTTACGCATAAGTGATCATGCAAGCCAGTCTGTACAAATACACTGTACGGATCCCATAAGGTCGGTTGACCTGATTACAGTCGACGATGTTTACAGTCGTAGTTCTTGACACGTGACATGTATGTCGTCCTGCGCAGTAAACTGTAACCCTGTATGCTGAGTGGACTAGTTCAAGCTCCACACCCTGTGGTGAACCCTGTGGTTGGCAGACCAGTGGTGTGTCTGAGTTCTGAGTAGGAACTGTGACGTTGCCGGTGTAGGGGCAAGTTGATCCCCATGACAAGAGTGACGACTGGTCCGGTGTTGGGAACGATGACCCAGTTGGGTACCTGGAAGCATATGACGATTCTGTTGAATACCAAATCGGTCATGGGGTTGTGATCGTCAACTGTGGTGCAGATAATATCTACCAGACGCTGTGGGTAGGGACATCTTTGAGAGTCTGTTCGATTTCTCCGAGGAAACGTTCAACCAACGTTGATAGACGAGGAAAATTGGTGAGAGATTTCCACAGAACCGTCTTCACGAGGTGTTGGAGCGCCATTGTATGGACGCCAGTCAAGTGTCCGTGTTGGAGCGCCGTTGTATGGACGCTAATCAAGTGTCCAGCGACCACTCTGGTCTCCATAGGTAGTTGGCCCTGGGGAGCTGACGATCTCATAGGCCTGTAGACTGAGAGCAGGTAGCCACAAGGACATCATGGAATGGCTAATTGTCTGTCTGCGCGGTTGTCCCTGGTGTGCATCTGTAGAGGCGCACTTGGCAGAGGTGCAAGGATAGGCGCAACCCGAGACACCAGGACAGACGTCGTTATGGATGCTGTAGACGGTGCTTTTGTAAAGGCGTCTGTATAGGCGTCCGACGAGGCACTGGCGTCTGTATAGGTGTCTGACAAGGCGCTGGTGTCTGTATAGGCCCCCGACGAAGTGCTGGCGTCTGTATCAGCGCTGTTTAAGGATAGGCGCTATCCGTAGATGCGTCTGCAGAGGCGCTATGGGAGGCGCTTGTAGAGGCGTCTGTAAAGGCGCTGGCGTCGACGGCTGACTGGCCTGTAAGTACTGAAAGTACTGGAGGAGAGAGGCATCTATCATGGGCGATCAGTACCGTAGGCGGGGGCGCCTGTGGGAGACCGAGCATCTGTGCCGTCGGCAGGGAGCGCCTGCGGGTGACCGAGCGTCTGTCCGGAGGATAGTATAGGCGCCGTCTGGTATGTGAGCGCCACGCCGGGCGTCACGGTGGTCACCGCCGTAAAGATAGTCGCTGTCGTGGTTGTCAAAGTGCTCTGGGTAGAGACTACAACCCTGGGGTCCGACATCAAGGTAGCAGGTCTGGGGGTGGTCATCCGAGATAGCCGATCTAGAAGGCGAAACCTCGGAGTAGTCTGACATCGTGCGCCGGTGTTTCCTGGCCTGCTGTGTTCTGCGTTTTTTACACACACAGAGGTACTGAAAGCAGTAAACAGTCTTTACATCGGTGACCCTGGAGGCATTGAGATGTACAATTAAGGCACAGCGGATGGGGATCCTACGCGGACATATTACGCCAGCACTTTGAGCAGGAGGGCATGATATCTGCTACGAAGCAGTGTAAAATCACAATGCGTCCCTGCCCGATTATGTATGCTATAATTTGTTTATCCCACTGTGTGGGTTTATGAAACAAATATTACGACAAACGTAAGACAACATATAACAAAACAAACAATACTTGCGTGGATACGCCAATCGTGGGGTACCAAGCAAAAGAATATAGAATGCAAACCAGTTCACAAACTGCCCGCTACGCAAAATATTCAAGATGGCTACTTGGAGCAACAAGACACCTGGCCTTATGTTTTCTTTTGGGAAAACGCCAGTAAGTGTCTAATAACGTTATCCACATGTTTATGAAACAAAGAATGTACAAAATACAAACCGTAGGCACAACACAAAGACAAAACAACATTAACTCAGATAGCAAACACGTGAGGGTTTGAATCAGTTTTATGTTACAGCCAAAAAAACAGGTCTTCTCTCAGCAAGTGACAAGAGTAATGTGAGGATCTGTGATGTCACTTCCCTTGGTCACATGGGAGCTGCGTGATGGGCTGGCCTCTCAGCTAGTTGGAGCAACTTCTTCAAGCTAAGACCCTAACACAGCTCTTTTCTCTGTCAAGAAACAAGCAGTAATATGCATTAAGGAGTAATGCAGGATAAGTAAAAAATTTGTAAAATGATATGGAAGAATGTCCTATCAAACATTGATAACATCATGAAAATGTCCTTGTCTCCTGAAAAAGTCACTGAAACTAGATAGTCTGATGTTATTGGAGACGTTTTGGAAAGATGATTGGTGTCTTGACAAAGCACCGACAAAAGATAGGTTTGTAATTGAACTATCCATGTAGCTATCCATTAATGGGATAAGTATTACAGATTGGTAAAATGTGAAAATGGCGATATCAACATTGTTCTGCTTTAAATAACTGTTAATGTCATCATAGAATAGAAACTGTGAAGTGTATTTGTGTGCATGATGTGTGGGCTATAGAAACTTCATCTAGGGAAGTTCCATGATGTTTCAAGGAGGCTACTGTCAAGCTTCTACAAAAAATCATAACCTTAATCCAAATCTATTGGAAAATTATCGATTGGCAAACAATTTAGCCTTCAGCCTTCATCTAAAGTGCTTGGGAAGGCAGTGACAATTCATCTCTCAGAACATATGGATGTTAACAACCTAAGGCTAATTTTTTTATAAAATCTTGGTTCTCAGACACCGCCACATCATCACAAAGTCTGCCGCACACAGGAGTTACCAATGTGAGTCAGAGTTCTCATGTCCTATGTCGTACTACTCATTCCACCAAGTTGCATAGGTCAAAAGTTGGTAGCGTGCGAATGCCCCTGACCACACCGGGTGGCATACCTCTCCCCGTGATGAATGTCTCACCTGTTTAAATCGGAACACTTCAAGGTTCCGGACATGGTACACAGATCTCTTTGTAGAGTCATTATAGGGCGGCCTTTCGAAGTGACCTGAAACAAAAGAATTGCATATTTGGTTAGGTCACACCTAAACACACAACTATGACATTCAACTGTACATAATGAACTTGACAGTTAATATTACGTACTCATAATTAAAATGACATGAAATGAAACAGCAGTAACTATCTCTTCTTGTTAGCATTGTTAGATACGGGTCATTAAAGAAATTCCTGTAACAGGTATGGCAAACAATACATTCATGAGATAGGTATTGAACAGAATCTGTCTCAACCATGTCAACAAATCATGTAACAGTCCTAGCATGAACAGCAAGAATTGTAAATTTTAGGCTAAATTGTATATTTATAAACTAAGTAAAAACTAAAATATGTTTTTTATTTATATTCTACTTGTTAATGCTGTTTTTTGGACAGAAAGACGGACTGTGTGAGATCCAGCTGCTGAAGAAAAGTCAGCACGTGACCTGGAAGCAATGCCATCACATAAGAGCACATTACTGCTTCAAACATAACATCTGAAACTTCATGGGGAGGCAGCGCAGCGAGGCAGGTGGGGGGCTAGAAGTAGCAAAGTTTTTTAACTTATCCTGCATTACTCCTTTATGGCAGGTGGGCATACCAGATGTGATCCATAATAAACACTTGTCAAGGTCCGATGAAGCTGCATCGCATACAAGTGATGACCGGAACATCCACAAACATTCCTGTCAGAAGGAAACGAGAGGTGACGCAAAAAGAAAACCCGAATAGGTGGCAGTAATAGAATGAGATGGGTAGCCAAAAACTAGAACTGACCTAAGAGCAAATGCAGAATTTGGGGTGGTAAACACCAGAGAGGTTGATGGGCCCCGCTTGGGTATCAGAGAATCGGTGGCATTGGGGAATGGTGACCTGTTGTGCTACCAACAGGGCACCAAAGCTGTGGACGCCAGCAACATCTTCCAAGGCTATGTCATGGAGGTAGTGACTGGCGAAGACGGTGTCTGATTGCCAAAAACAGCCCTCCATGATCAACTTGATGGAGCAGTTACTATGAAGAGCCATGGTAGATGTGACCTGCCTGATGTCGTGGGGGTGCTTAGCCTTGGGGCTTCCAATCTGTCGGCTTTATAAGCTTGTAGGATGACCGCCTGGAGCTACAGGGAAATAGTATTCCGGCTGACCTCCGACTGCGATGATGGGAAGACCAGCAGGAAAAAGTGTTTCCTTGACTTGTGGCAGGCTTTTGACTGTCGTACAAAAATCTTCAATGACTGTATCGGGCATAATAGAAGCTCCACCTTATCATTGGCATCCACGATAGACTAGAGGGGGGGAGGGGGGGAGAAATAGTGATCATTCTCTCAGACTGTCCTGGGAGTTGATTCTTGGCAATGAAGTCCCAGCACAGCCCTAGGTGAACGGCGTCATGAGTACCGCGTTCAAACCGGACATGGGCAGTGGTAGCAAAAGCCAGTAGAAACACTGTAGAAGGAAGGAAGACGAGTGGAGTGGTTTGAAGGGAGCAGTCTGAAGAGCCTGTAAGACCATGTTCAGATCCCACTTTCTGGTCTTCAGAACAAACCAAGCGCAGCAAGGCCTGGAGTTCGTAAATTTTCGTCATCCTCTGATCGTGCAAGATGGAAAGCACAGAGTTAATGGCGACCAAGTAAGTAAGAGATGGTAGAACCTTTCAACCGACGTGTGTTGCGCCAGTAAAGAAGAAACTGCGGTGATACTGCCATCAGATCCTGGGGTTTGTTGGAGCAGAATGCCTGGAAAGAGCACCATTTGTCATCCTATAGTCCCTGTGTAGACAGACGGTGGGCTAAGGCAAAAGCCTCGGGTGCTCTAGCCGAATAAATGTAATGGTGATGACAAGATAGGCATAGGACTAGGAGGTGTAGGTTTCGATGACACAGGCAGTCTCTGTGGTGTCGACAAGCTTGTTGGGTGACACGTTTCATTTGACTCGAAAGTAAAGGTTGAAGGAAGATGGCAACAAGGGACTGTAATAGCGGCACTGCACTGATGGAGTACAAGGTGTCTACAATCAGGGCAGGGAGGATGGGGGTCCAGACCAGATTTGTCGGCAGTAAAGTCATATTGATGTTGCAAGAACACAACCGGAAATGGGAGGCATAATGTAACTCAAAAACTTTTCAGTTTTAAAAGTTATGTGAGCAAACAATTATGCAAAAGTTGCTTTTGAAATAAACAAACATGAGGTAAAACAGAATAATGGGTTACCTAAGCCAAACAAGAAAGAAGTGAGCAAAGCTCACATACACCCGTTATCCCCGCTGGTCAACAACAAATAGTAAATAGTTTGTTAATTACTGAAACATTACATATTTCTAACTGATTTTAACTTCAATGTTTTAAAAACTAAGATTGAGTTCAAGTGACAAATGACCCCCTCAAAATCTCCCATGTTACCAGTGTTCACTACGAGGAAGTAGATCACCATGAACACCTTTGAATAAAAATTTGATTGAGGAGTTATATAAGAAGAATTATCAAAAGGACCAAAAATTGTTGATATAAAAACACATAAAAAATGGAACAATATCATATAAGAAAATCAATAAATTAATAATTTCCATCTAGCTTTAACAGATATGGTAAAGAATTCATAAATTCAAACTAACACAAAGCACAGATACTGATGATGATCTACATGTGTGGAAACAATTTTGGAAAATATATTAGCTATACAAAACCAGTCATCAAAATTTCTAAATTCCATCATGTTTCCATGAAAACAGCAAAAGAGAAAACTTTCAGAATCTTATAAAAGATAAAAAAACAATCATAGTGGTTAATGTAGCAAGTTTGCTGAAGCTAGGATACATAATATTGTAAACATGGATCGTACAAAAACTCTACCCAAAATTTATGTTTCACAATGATTCCATGGAAACGGCATAAATAAAAAAATTCAGAAACTTCAAACTAGCAAAAGGCACAAGTACTCATTGTGGTAAATGTGTGTAGCAAGTTTGGTGAAGCTAGGGTGCATGGTTCAAAAGTTATGGGCCTTACAAAAGCTCGGACAGATGGAAGGACGGACGAACGGAACGCTATATACCCGCAATTTACTTCGTAAACAGGGGTATAATAAAAGAATTCACAATGCAATACACGAAATCGTGGCCTCGTGGTGAATTCAAAATGGCCAATAGACAACAATACGCCCGTAAATTACCGTGACTAGAGCACCAATGAGTGATAAAACGTTATAAATGACCATAATGGGCACAAACCATAAACAGAAGACAATATATTAGCAAACAATGAACGTAGAAGCAAAGTAGCTAGCAAAAACAATAGGTATTATTTCCACAAAGGATACATCAATACGACCGTTCGTGGAGGTGAAAAATCAGTAAGGTGACGTCATTGCTTCCGGGCCCGTGCCGACTGTGTTAGGGTGCTGCCAGCTACTGGTTGGAACAACTTTCTTCAGTAGCTGGATCTCACATAGTTCATCTTTCTGTTAGCAGTAAATGCATTAAGGTGTAATGCAGGATAAGTGAAATATAGCTTGTGAGATAGGATAACCACATAAATATGCAATTTAAGGTAAAATTTTAAATTTTAAAACTAAACTATTTCACACTATGCATTTATCCCACGGATGGTTCGTGGGGCTCAAGATACCGAGCCTGTTGAGACATATACGGGGAAGCTCTGCTAAACAGAGATCCAGTCTCATGTGACCAGGAAGTCACAGGAGCATGCCAATTCAGCAAAGGCATATACCCAAAGAATAGATGAGCGAAGGCAGACTGTGGTAGGGAAACTTCTGTGGTGGTCGCCATGGAAATGGGGCTGAAGAGTCTCTTGTGGACGCGGTGAAGTGGCCAAGCAGACTCAGGTAGATATGGAGCTCTCTAACCAGGCATATGGAGATGTCTTCATGATCATCTGGGCTCAAGACGGACGCCAACGACAGAATGGAAAACAAACAGTCAAGCTGTCCCGGGAGCTGATTCTTCACGATGAAGTCAGAGTGAAGCCCCAGAAAGACCTTCCCAGTCAGTGTTCCCTCAAACTGGACCCTGTGAACATCAAGCATGTGGATCTCCCTCAGCAGGTGTTGCAAGGGCCAGGAGGAAAAACATCTTTAGGGTGATCAACTCGAGGTCAATCTCAGCAAGTGGTTCATGCTCAGCAGAGGTTAAATGGCTGAGGATGACGTTGAGATTCCAAGTGGGATAGGCGTCTTGTAGGTTGAGATTGACCAAGTGGTCTCCCAGATGGATATTCGTTTGAAGGAATGTGATGGACGTCATGTGAAAATGCAGCAGATCTTTGAGATACAACAGTCTTCTGCCTACAGGAGTCTCTACAATAGGTAAGACAGAGAATGAAAGTTCCCAGTCATCCCATAGCTGGTGCGAGGATAATGCACGTTGGAGGACTTGTATCCAGGTTGTCCTTGGCAGCCCCCGACCTCTCTCACGAAAAGAACTAGTTTTAGATCCAAAAACCTCACGGAGGTCACAATTCTTCAAAATGGTTGATTGCAGGATTTGCAAAGCACGTGCACCGCTAACTCGTCAACAGATATTTTCCAAGCCTTTTCACGTTTTTAATCAAGGTGCTCACATGATTTGTGGCACTTCACGAGTTAAGACCTGTGTTATCACAATATAGATCTTGATTATCGATCAGATCATCTGACTTGGCACGGCCATTTTGTGTGAAACAAATGCAAGTGATACGAGAGGTGGAATCTGATTGGTCCATAGGAGAGGCTTATAAGGGACTTAACTCGTAATAACCACTGGTGGCGCTACGATTGAGCCCAGGAATTCAAGCCTATTTCGGCAAGGGTGGAAACTGGACTTTTGCAGTCAGTTAATTCCCTTGCCTCAGGAAGATGGGTGTCGGGTAGACCAAGGAACATGGTAAAACCTTGTCTTGAAGTGGTCGTCCCACTGACAGTACTGGAGGACACCATGGTGAAGGAGAGCAGTGACGGTACCAGCATTGTGCGAGATAAGATCCATGATGCCCATAAGCTCCTCATGAATCAATGCAATGGAACCTCTAATACGGCCCTCGGAAGACTTGCCGTGTGACACAGATGCAGCGATGGCTTCCATTGCCGACAGGATGGTTCAAATAAACGGGAGAGTATGTCAGATGATAGTATCTAAGTGGGCAAGTTCTCGATCATCCACAGTTGAAGTATTAACAGAGCGTTTGGGGCAGAGAGTCGCAACATCACCATTCAATTCGAGTGCCACGGCAATTGAAGATAAACCATGAGTTGAATTGAGGAGTTTGAAGTCTATTGAGTAATAGCAAAAGCCTTGTTAAAATTACTAGTGACATGAGACATGAAGGGCCTGGGAGGGAGTGTGATGGCAGAGGAACCGGCACTGGGTACAACAAAACACATTAGCTGGTTATCTGCTGAAGTACTGCTCTGTAACTGAAGTCTAAGTTGACAACTCACAGGGTTACAGTGTGTGACCCAATTGTTGGGGCGGTAACCATGGTGATGCTGAGATGTGTTCAGGCAAAATATTTTTAGAAGCTGGAAACTTTGTTCAAGCATGTTTTGACACTGTTTGACATGTGTGTAAACGTCTTGACTCTGATGGTTCAAAGACCTTTGTTGCTGTAGCAGACGTCCCCCTAGCACAGAAGGCATTGTCTGTTCATTTACATGATGTAACGTGTGTATGCTGCCTCCTAGTTATAGTAGTATTGTTTCACACCTCACACATACTGATACTGTTTTTTCAGAAATAACTCACCTCTTTGAAAGTCTTTTCCTTTATAAATCCCCGACAGTCCACCTATTCTGATACCTCCAACCTGGACGATGCCTCCATAACCTGGAATCAGATGTTATTAGACAAACATGAAGCAGCATTTCAATGTACGAGTTCAGTGAGAAACATTCCAAGATGACATTAGCTTGGGCATATTGTCTAAGGGGTTTTGAATCAGGTCACTCAAACAATACTAACTTGGCATCATTTTCAATTCAGTTCAGAAGCAGAGATGAATGACTAAATTTGAACATTTACTTTGAGGTTACTTAAAATTGGATATTCATAATATCAGTATACTTATCCTGACACAACATATTGCAGTTTCCTTCTTTTCTTTGATGATATAACAGAGAACCCAAAATGTGCCTCTTCTACATTCGGGCCGCCTGCAGGGCAGGGAGCTGTACCAGCCACACCGCAGGGCAGGGAGCTGTACCTGCCACACTGCAGGGAGCTGTACCAGCCACACCGCAGGGCAGGGAGCTGTACCAGCCACACCGCAGGGCAGGGAGCTGTACCAGCCACACTGCAGGGCAGGGAGCAGTACCAGCCACACCCCAGGGCAGGGAGCTGTACCAGCCACACCGCAGGGAGCTGTACCAGCCACACCGCAGGGAGCTGTACCAGCCACATCGCAGGGCAGGAAGCTGTACCAGCCACACTGCAGGGCAGGGAGTTGTACCAGCCACACCGCAGGGCAGGGAGCTGTACCAGCCACATGGCAGGGAGCTGTACCAGCCACACTGCAGGGAGCTGTACCAGCCACACCGCAGGGCAGGGAGCTGTACCAGCCACATGGCAGGGAGCTGTACCAGCCACACTGCAGGGAGCTGTACCAGCCACACCGCAGGGCAGGGAGCTGTACCAGCCACATGGCAGGGAGCTGTACCAGCCACACTGCAGGGAGCTGTACCAGCCACACCGCAGGGAAGGGAGCTGTACCAGCCACACCGCAGGGCAGGGAGTTGTACCAGCCACACTGCAGGGCAGGGAGTTGTACCAGCCACACCGCAGGGCAGGGAGCTGTACCAGCCACATGGCAGGGAGCTGTACCAGCCACACTGCAGGGAGCTGTACCAGCCACACCGCAGGGAAGGGAGCTGTACTAGCCACACCGCAGGGCAGGGAGCTGTACCAGCCACACCGCAGGGCAGGGAGCTGTACCAGCCACATGGCAGGGCAGGGAGCTGTACCAGCCACACCGTAGGGCAGGGAGCTGTACTAGCCACACCGCAGGGCAGGGAGCTGTACCAGCCACACTGCAGGGAGCTGTACTAGCCACACCGTAGGGCAGGGAGCTGTACCAGCCACACTGCAGGGAGCTGTACCAGCCACACCGCAGGGCAGGGAGCTGTACCAGCCACACTGCAGGGAGCTGTACCAGCCACACCGCAGGGAGCTGTACCAGCCACACCGCAGGGAGCTGTACCAGCCACACCGCAGGGCAGGGAGCTGTACCAGCCACACTGCAGGGAGCTGTACCAGCCACACCGCAGGGAGCTGTACCAGCCACACCGCAGGGAAGGGAGCTGTACTAGCCACACCGTAGGGCAGGGAGCTGTACCAGCCACACCGCAGGGCAGGGAGCTGTACCAGCCACACCGCAGGGAGCTGTACCAGCCACACCGCAGGGCAGGGAGCTGTACCAGCCACACTGCAGGGAGCTGTACCAGCCACACCGCAGGGCAGGGAGCTGTACCAGCCACACCGCAGGGCAGGGAGCTGTACCAGCCACACTGCAGGGAGCTGTACCAGCCACACCGCAGGGATCTGTACTAGCCACATCGCAGGGCAGGAAGCTGTACCAGCCACACTGCAGGGAGCTGTACCAGCCACACCGCAGGGATCTGTACTAGCCACACCGCAGGGCAGGGAGCTGTACCAGCCACACCACAGCAATGTCAAAATAATGTATAGTTTCATGAACCTACCTGTTATATCATTCATTCATTAAATCTATCACTTTTTACAAAACAGTAGGATTAGACCATTCAAATGGGGTAACACATGTAGTAGCGAAGATGTTTTACAAGCTGATAATTTCCTTGATAAATGTAGGCTTCATCTATCACCACAGAGTCTCTGGGAACTAGGTGTGATAGCAGTAAAAGCTTCTGGTTGACTGGTTGTGTTGTAATTTATATTGCAAGAGTATGTCTCCCTACTTCAGCTAAAATGTTTGGGCCTACAGTTTTTTTCCACTGGGCCTACATCTTTTGAAAGGTGCCCTTGAGGCTCTCAGTTTACTCTGCTGAGTTATCTGTCCTTGATTCCCCACTGCCTCCTCATCAACATGTAGCTTGATATACAGACGAGGGACTGACTTGTGTCAGGATAAGTATACTAAGGCTTAAAAAGAAATGAATTGGTTCTCAGGCAATGGCTTTTGAAAATATGGTGCGGGCAGGCGGCCTTTTGTTTGGATGTTTAAACTTGTATGTCACCAAATAAACAGTTGTGTACAATCAACCTGGGAAGTGGCCACCCTATATAAATGTATTCCTTGATGAGTAAAATACTGGAATACAATATTGGACTGTCCTTGGACTACCAGTAAGTGCATAATACACACATACAATGAGTTTTGATTCTATTTCCCAATGTGAAAACGTCATCGTAAGCACACAACACCGAAAGAAACATGTCAACAAATCCGTACTCAAGTATGCAAGTTACTCCTATTATTACACTATCTGGCTATAAAAGTGTTCATTGTGTATCTGGACTTACGCTTATATTTCTTTTCTCAAAGATTCCATTTAATTTTGCTTACACACGACATCATGTATGCTCTGATTGGCAAATCTCATCACCTCACCGTGAACTTGCCTTGAAACAAATACGAGTCGTTAGAGATACAAAGTCTTCGGTCTTCCTATCAATTTTCTTTTTAAGGTATGATATTGGCCAGGACAAGAAGAGCTATTTCCGGCTTATTTTACGAGACAAATACACATGTAATCTTATTCTCTGCGTATGAAACATTGTCTGCCATACAGTACACAAATACCACCATCATATCTTGTGATGTTTTATAAAAAGATTTATGTTTTCATTGACCAAAATTGCAAACAAGCACATAACTATTGCTGCCATGACCATAACATATGACAAGAGATGCGCAGTACATCAGTGCACATGTAAAGGGAAGTAACTGCACGCTATATTGGATTGTGTTGTTTTTAAGTATTGTAACATTTCACTGCTGGGATCGGTGTGTTCAAGACACAGATTATTTAAGGATTTCCGGGTTTTTTTAAAAATGGAAATAAAAACGAAAAGAGAGACGGACTTTGTGAGGATAGGGCAGTGCCTGAGAACCAAGAATATATATTTTTTAAGCCTAATATCATGTGTATTCAGATTCATGAAACTTATTTCTTATCCTTATTCTTTGCAGTATTGGCAACTAGCACTGGAGTTATATCAGGATTAGAGTATGCTCAGCGAGTGCTCTTTTTAGTAAATCTGTTTCCCCTGTCTCATCCCTACTGTAACATAGAATGCTATGCTTCCTGGTCAAGTACCTGTGCTCCTTCCGAAGTGTTGAGTAGCGAATAATACCAAGAGCCCACAAATCACTCAGAATAGTTATTGTGACACTGCGACACAAGGGAAATATCTAGCAAACACTGACAGACCAGTGCTGTGGTGGTAGTCTCAAGTCATATTGTGTATGAACATGAGCGAGACAATCCGTCAAGAGTGTTGTTGAGATATCCTTACTCGCCCAAAGACATGTATTCTGAGATTGAGTCCATCTGTGATACATGATGCGGAACAGTCAACAACTGAGCAAATCTGAGTGGCCCAGACTGGTACATCCTCCACAGAGACATCCCTTAGACAATAGTTATTGAAAGTGCTGTCCATAGACCTTGTCACTGCCATAATGGCAAGTCAGGAGTGTCATCACGCCCCAGTACTGATGACAGCAGTGATATACTGAAACTTTTATCTATATACCCTAGTATTGTTTTGTAATGTTTGTTGTTGTTTGCACTCTGCAATATTCCAGCTATATGACGGCGGTCTGTAAAATAATCCACGCAATAGGGATACGATGATATGCATCAACCAAGTCAGCGAGCCTGACCACCCCATCCCGTTAGTCGCCTCTTTAGACAAGCATTGTCACCTTTTACGGCAAGAATGGATTGAGCTATTCTACCCCGGATCTTCACGGGTTACCTACCCTAGTTGTTGGGCTTTGATGACCAAATCCAATATGAACTCTGGCCTCTGGTCATCTGTCAAACTTTACTGCATCTAAGGCATGGATTTCCCCAATAAAGATGCAGTAACCAAGGCTATGACAAAAACAGTCTATTGGATCAAAGACAACTCTGTTTGCTGTATCAGTTCGTATGGCTGTAATACCAGATGCTGTATGAGTAGTCCTATGTCCCAGGACGGAAATCTGAAGCACTCCACAAGGACAATGCACCAAACCTAGCATATCCAATTGTATTGCAAGAGCGATAACTCTGGCTGTGTTTACAAGCTGTCAAGGTGTCTGTGAAACGGTTTGCTAGCCATACTGAATAAGACATGCTAGATAAAGTTGCTAAAATTATGCCGGTAATAAAAATTCCTTGTCAACTGGCTAGGAGTGTATAGGCTTGCACATAGGATACATCTCACCAGTTGACAACTAATAATATTTACTCTGAGAGGATTTCAATGTTAGATGTAAGAAAATCAACAGGCATCTTCATCTTTGAATATATATGTGAGCAGAATAGAAGTGTCAGTTATATGTAATTTGATTCAAACAGCCACACTAACTTGCTTCCCACAAAACTCACAATGTAAATTATGTGTGTTCATTCCAAATGTTTGTATGTTTATAGGACACAATATTGTGCCAATAAAACCCACTGTATAGAAAGAGGGTGCTACATTATGTCTCCTAAGAGTCAATATTTATGGATGAAAATGTTTTGGTCAAACTCAAAGCGACAACTGACTCTGATTACTGATACTATCTGCAGTTTCTAGATTATGATTTCCTAAATTCTCACCCATGTAGTAAATGTTTGGTGCCACCCATCCCCCATATGGCAGTTCCTGGAGGTAGTTGGATGCTTCGTGGTTTCCACCGATAAAAATGGTCAGGACTGGGGCCACCTTCTCTCCAGAATAGTATCTGCAAAGGAGGCATGCATAGATGTCTACTTGTACCACTCTAGGGTCTCAAAACCAACTACATAGGTGTTTGCATACAATTGTTGAATCAAGACGTGATTTGTCTCTTATTTTTCATTATTTATAATGTCTGCAGGGAGGTAACTTTGAAGATGGGCAGGCAACATTTATGGATCACCTGATCATCTCTCTTGTTGAGCTTTTAAATCACTTCAAACACTGTTATTGATACATGTTTGGGACAGTTTTAGGGCATTCAGGAAAAGGTGAGGATGGGGCTGCTTCCATTTTTGTATGTTGGTATTGGTAGGTTAGTATGTTGTTTAACACTGCCGTCAGCAATATTCCAGCTATATGATGGCGGTCTGTAAATAATCGAGTCTGTACCAGACAATCCAGTGATTGACATCATGAGCATCAATCCACGCAATTGGGATACGATGACATGCATCGAATCAAGTCAGCGAGCCTGACCACCTGAACCCGTTAGTTGCGTTTTAAGACAAGCATAGTCGCCTTTTACGGCAAGCATGGGTTGCTGAAGACCTATTCTACCCCGGAATCTTCACGGGTCTGTTGTCTAATGTAGTCCTATGCCTCAATCTACCCTAAACACAAGCAAAAGGTCTATTGGCATCACTTACCATGGTTACAGTTTTGAACAAAAACATGCCCTATGCAATAAAACTTAGGAAGAAAAAATTCCATGCTTATATGCATTAAAGGTATGAAACAAAGTCCATTGCCAAAGTTATACATATTATAAGCATTTCCTGTTTAATGACATCACTACTAGTTTGGGAAAACATATTCACAGAGCAGTATGAATTTGAAACAAAAGTGCTATGCTTATCATGCTAACAGCACAGCTACCTTAAATTAGCGACAAAGTTATAAGCCCTTTGGGAAAAGTATTTGGAAAAAAACATGCACAATGGTTAATAAACAATTATAGATCTGCTCACTTGTAGAAAGTGTTGAGTCTCTGATATTTTGGTGGAACAGCCATACAGGGAAGGTCTGCCCTATTTCGTACAGCCTGGAAGTCACCACATATAAGAAGCAGATCAACTGTCATGTTGTTTTTCTTTTCAAGATGCTGGATGGTCTCATAGATCTTGTCAAGTTCACCATGGCAACAACCCTCCACTGCAATCTTCATTTTGATTTTGAGAGATTCACTACCAGTCACTACTGAAACATGATGTGATAAATATCTACTGTTAAAACTGGTCATCAAGTCAACATGTCAAGAGACATACACTGGATACCTACACCTATTAGGTCTTCAAGGATTGCTGAAGTGGGGATCAAGCTGCCTTTTGAGGCATCACTATAGGGCCTCTTTAATACTATGCTACTAGGTAGGTTGGCCGACTAGGCCTACACCCATGAACACACGAACTTTGTGACAAAGCAACATGTAATGTTTATCGTGCATTTGCACTGCTGACGTTACTATCTTTCTTGTCTAAATATAAAACACAAGTTGGAACCGCATATTCCATAGTGTGGTAAGGATATTTTCACTACAATATTACATCAACTTCTTACGAACGAATCTTCTACTTTTCAAAATCCAGAAGCCATGCTTCACCGGATATAGACGCAAGTGCGTGTTTTTGCGACATTTATTTTCGTTTTTAAATATGATAAAGAAAAGTTCTGACATTATTGATAACTTACTGCAGAGAGTGTTAAATAATAGATATGTTTATATAATAATGAAAACCAATATATGTCTTTTATTTTTGTTTGCGACAATCATAAATAGGATCTTTGATAAGGATCAACAAGAATCAAGACAGAGCAAACAAATTGTAGCGAACATCGAACATGATCCCTTCAAACATGGTAGATATGATTTGATATTGCGATAAATGGTCCAGACTACTGGACTGGACTGCCACATTTCCATTTCTACTAGAAAGAAAAACACGAAACAAGCACTAATAGAAGCAGCTCTAGCCTATATTGATCCAAGCGACGTCTATGCTATGGGCCAGCACAAAATGTCTGATTGAGAAAAGTCGCGATCTTCTCAGATGTTTTGGCTGTGTAACTACAAAATAAAAGGCCCCAAATAATTTCTGATTCTATACGGAAAACAATATGCCATATGTTCATTTTCAAGTTCCATGATATTTGTATTTGTGTAGTCAACATTCAGCAGGAATGTTCCATGTTTACCACAAAATTTGATACCCATGACATATGATATGCTTCCGCTTTTGCCATGGAAATTTTTAAACAGGCACTGATCTAAAGCAATTCCTCCGGATTGGTTGTTGCCTTTGTTAATGTTTTTTCCCTGTGAGTACCCGGATGATATAGCAGAAATCTAGACTAGTTCGCAACCTGTACTGCGCCATTTGAAAGTGCATTAGTCACTTTTATTGATAGTACAAGGGTGTACAGTCACATTGATCAGCAAAATGAAATACAGTTTTGGATGTAATATAGATATTTAGGTATCTTTTTGGGTAGCATCGGTTATGGTGACAAAGTTTTGATAAGTCACTTGCTTGGTAATTGTGCGATTTTCATTTACACTATTTTGACTTGGGGACCCAAATTCTGCAGTTGACCCCACAAAGTAAATATTTCAATTGAGCATTGCTTAATTTATAGTGTGTATATTCTTACAGTCAAAATGTTAAAGATTTTCACTTAAGAAATTAAACGCCTAAATGCAGTTATTTTACAAATTGACTGAAAAATATGTCCATCTTTATTATTATGTTAATGAATTCCAAACAAATTTATTTTTGAAATCATCCCCAAGTGACTGAAAAAATTAGGATTAAAAGTACATTTCTATATTGTTTGGCTTCTAATCCAAGTATAATTAATCTATTGTGATGTTTTTAAGCCCCTTTGAACGTGTTAATCATTTTTAGTCAATCTGTTAAATAAATGGACAGATGTTTCAGTTAATTTGTTAAATGACTGAAATATTTAGACATTTTATAAATTAAGTAAGGATAAGAATTTATGGATGAACAACTTCTTTATTACAATTAAGAGCAGTTAATTTTATAAATTGCCTGAGTGAATCACTTTTTACACATTGATTGTAACATATACATGCTTACAAAGGAAAAGACATGTGAAAACAATGTCTATCGCGCATCGAAGAAATTCCCAACCAAAACATAGAGGAACAAGAATGATTCTGTTCAATGCTACAGCAAATAACTGAAAACCAAATGCAAATGTCATAATTGCAAACCTACCAAAGTTACATATATAACTTTAGCCAGCTACGGTGTTCGAGGAATGTATCCGTGAATATCCACATAAAGGAACAATATCCCATACGTCTGCAGCTGTACAAAGAAACTTATTCGATATCACATGTCTCTGTAACAATCAACTATTTTAAAATATATATAGCGTTTCAGGATATTCTTACATGTGTTCGTTTCTCAACTGATCATTTAGTTTGTTTCAGTTGTTTCACATAGGTGTCAGGTCTCAAAGGTCAGGTGAGAAGGTCCACGTGAGAACTATTTTCATAATGCCCACGGTTCTTAAACGAATCCATTGAGTTAGATAACAATGAGCAGTCAATCAACGTATCAAAGTACAGTCAAGTCCTGTTAATCTACCATGGTTGGTTGCATATAAGATTGTGTCGGATTAATGAGTATGTTGGATAAACAGAATTAAGATTACCATGGAGTACGCTGATCACTGTGTCAGATTAACGAGACTGATTAATGAGTGATTTCGGTAATTCGTTGCAAATTAGATGTGTCGGAGTGGGAGTGCGAGACTGTCGGATTAATGGGTCTAAATAGCACTGATTTAATCGGTTCCCATCATTAGTGTCAGATACAGCTGAATATCGGTTAAACGAGTGTCTGACTATATGTACTTTTTACATCGGCACTTCACGCCATGATATGAGTGCATTCCGTCTGCTTTAGTAAACCTACACATGTAAACACTTACTTTTGACATATCCACTCTGCAAGATAACAGTGATTAATCAATCAACATATTTTCTGTTGATCCTTGATGGCTAGGAATGATCCGTTAATTTACAGAAAAGTTAATCAACTGATCATTCATCTCTTGCTGGGCTGCCATGTGCATATCACATAACACACATTTCACCTCATTTCAAACCTGGATTTAGATTGAATAATTAACCCAGACACAAGAAATGCCAAATGGGAACCTTTATCAGGTAATCTGAGTGGTGCTACCACTAATTATACCTGTAATAAATTCATTAACAGAGCATCAATTGAATGGCGACAAATACACAAGTGTAGGTTATACCAGAAAACATGGATGACAACAAAGGAGTAGTAATCATATTATCCACGCAATCCGAAAATGATTTCACTGCAGGGATACTTTTTTTATATTACTAAACTATAACCTATAACCCTATATTTGGGTATTTCCAAATAACGACATTCGATGACCTTCCATCGTTCTTTTTATCTGTTTGTTTAGGCTAATGAAATTAATTTACATGCGCCTTTGTCGAAATCTTCATAGACCACGGGTAACCAATCAGTATTAAAAAATGTGTTAAACAAGTATTGCCTCCAAGTTTAGCTGGACTTGCAGACGGCAGCCCAGTCTCTTGTCATGCTCAGTTGCGTTAGCTAGCAAATCGAATAACGGCAGCTAGTGAGCCCTGGCAGGCAGTGTTAGACAGCCGAGAAGAAGCCAGAGATTAGTGCCCCTTTAAGTCCAGTACTCCTGAATATGTTTTGTTTAGTCTATTTGGCGAACGATTACTGAGAAAATGTCAACGAGAGATTTCTGTTTTACTGGAGCCACTGTATAACACTAATTAATATGAAATAGGTGAAACCTCACTATGCAACCCTACATGTAATAGAGATCTTGCTTCCAAGCCTACATGTAATAGAGATCTTGCGTCCAACCCTACATGTAATAGAGATCTTGCGTCCAACCCTACATGTAATAGAGATCTTGCGTCCAACCCTACATGTAATAGAGATCTTGCATCCAACCCTACATGTAATAAAGATCTTGCTTCCAAGCCTACATGTAATAGAGATCTTGCGTCCAACCCTACATGTAATAGAGATCTTGCATCCAACCCTGTATGTAATAGAGATCTTGTGTCCAACCCTACATGTAATAGAGATCTTGCAACCAACCCTACATGTAATAGAGATCTTGCGTCCAACCCTACATGTAATAGAGATCTTGCATCCAACCCTGTATGTAATAGAGATCTTGTGTCCAACCCTACATGTAATAGAGATCTTGCAACCAACCCTACATGTAATAGAGATCTTGTGTTCAACCATACATGTAATAGAGATCTTGCTTCCAACCATACATGTAATAGAGATCTTGCGTCCAACCCTACATGTAATAGAGATCTTGCTTCCAACCCTACATGTAATAGAGATCTTGCGTCCAACCCTACATGTAATAGAGATCTTGCTTCCAACCCTTCATGTAATAGAGATCTTGCTTCCAACCCTACATGTAATAGAGATCTTGCTTCCAACCCTACATGTAATAGAGATCTTGCTTCCAACCATACATGTAATAGAGATCCTGCTTCCAACCATACATGTAATAGAATGAACTATTAAAGGATATCACACATCAGGATTGTGAGGGAATATACAAGATTTGATCTTGTTACATATCAAGGCACCAATTTATCTTTGTGCTTGGTATATCCACAAATAACAAGAATGTGTTGTGTCTAGACAAATATATACAACCTAAGTATTTGACCATTGGAAATTAATTAATTACTTAATCATGTTAATTGCACCATGTTGGTTTATCAACACCTGCATAACTGTTTATTCAGGTTTTGTGTGGCAGACTGAAATTGAACATGATTGAACATCAGGATAGTGTGGGCAGGGATGATAGATTCCCCTGAAAATTAGAACAAGAAGAAAAACAACATGAAAAATAAATCAAAAGAAAAAATATTTTAGTTTAATAAAAAATAAAAAATATGAGTTTTTAAAGAAAATAGTTATATTTGACCCTGGTCACTAAGCACATTCTAAAAATGTATTAAATTCATACAGGTGAAATAGGGTTTAGGATTATTGAATTCATATAGCAACATGCATGTGTGTATGTCTGCTTGTACTAGTCTCCACTTATGGTAGTTTTGTTTTATAGTGCCAGCCCACTGAGATACCATGCCACGGTTTAACATGGATAACCCACTCAGACACATTATAATGACTCTGAACCAACCAGTCTTTATCTTGTCAACCAACCTTCCATTATCCAGGCAGATGCTGTATCCACTAGGTGGTCTAATTTCATACAGAAAAACAGACATAATAAATGTAAAAACAATGAAAGATAACAGAACCAATAAGGAGGAATGACTTAATAATCAGTGTTTCCATTTTCTGGTATTGATATGGCTTGACTGGTAAATGTAAGGGCAGTCCTTGTCAAGTAGAAAAATGGTGTAGAAATGTTCTCTTGTAAGCGACAACAGACAACTGAAGTATACATTCTTTCAGTTAGACATAAGTGTATATAATGGTTCACCAAAAATATGTATTGTGAAAATGAAATACCATGCAGTGATTTCTGGTCTTGAATAGATATTGACGAG